TACACAACCAGTATACCAAGAAGGAAACGTGCTCCTCATCAGAAATAGAAACTGTTGGATCATCGATAAAATGCTTCTCGAGAAAATGACCATAGGCTTTCGATTCCCAATCGATTTTGGACCTTAGGGAAGTATCCGAAGGAAAAACACCCTTATAATACTTCTCCCCTGTGGGCTTCAAACCAGTAATTGCAGCGACTTCGAAAAGGGTGGGCGAAAGGGGACCACAAGGGAGTTCTAACGCATGCAGGTCCTTATTCCACAAATGTACAGCAGACAGAAACATAGTCATATCCAAAAATGACAAATCGCTTCGAGACAAATGCAAAAAATCGAAAATCCCCACATCTCTCCAATGGTTCCCAAACTTAGTCTTAACCCTATCAAACCACCTAATGTACAAGGGTTTTTTGGTGGGGGGGCCCGTTCGGTATACTTTAGATACAACATTCAGAAAGCCAGTTCGAACCTCAGATTGATGAATAAGAGTTTGGCTCTTTGAAGAAAGATTGAAGGAAGAAAAAGATCCGCCACAAGAACGGATAGGACCCCCAAAAGCAAAATTTACATCATCAGCAATGTAAGGGATGAGTACCTGCGTCTCAGCGACCTTCTGAGAAGCTTCCTCCATTAGAGGAACCGGAGCAAATGTCTTGTTGTTGATCTCCAGCAAGTTAGAGGCCACCGAGGGAAGTGGTGGAGCTGAAAAATCAGAAGATTTGGAAGAAGTTGTCATTTCAGGAGAGTAGAGGAAAACAGAGGATAGAAGGTAAGGGTGCAAGGTTGAGGACAAAGGCGCAAGGTAGAAGATGAAGTTGCAAAGGAGGAATAAAAGTTCGCGTAAAAAACCAGGGTAAAAGACCAACAAAGTGTTTAAAGGAAAACTACCTAGGGTACTGGAAACGACGGAGGCGAAGGGAAATTAATGTGGCGTGTACAGTAAGGCAGCAGACTGATGTGATGGTGATATAAAGCAGAAAGAAACCTAAAACCCTAAAAAACCCCAGAAACCCTAAAACCTAAGTTATTGTGGGCCTCCAACACGCGAAGGCGGGAATCATGTTGAAAGAATATAAACATAAACTATTTAAATTCTTCCAAGGGGGCATTTTGTTAGTGGGAAATCGATAAAGGGATCGAGAAACAAATGGGAGCAAAAATCGAGAACCATTTTGATTGAGTTAAAGACTGATAAATCGAAAGATAGTTAAAAAATACGTTCGACGACCATGTGACAATATAAGCGAGAATTAGAATCGAGAATCAAAGGAAGAATGTTTAATATCCGTTAGTGAATGAAATCGAAAAATCAGAATTATGTAATGTTAAGGTTAAGATAAATCAAAGGCAAGTCAAACGTTCTCAAGATTCTGAAATCAACATCGGGGAAAGGTTAACCCATGTATCGAAATCCCGGCTAAGTTATAAAGAAAGGAATAGTTGACGTGCACATCGAACATGGTAAGCGGTGGCAAAGGTCGAAGGTCAAGGAAGCAGTTACCTCATGTGTGGGAACGTGAAGGCAGTTTCTAAACCGTATAGTTAAGAGTAAAACTACAAAAGACGTGCACGCAGAACGTGGTAGCAGTTTTCATTAACTGCTCCTAAGAGATTACTTGAAAGATGCTCTATAAATAGAGCGAAGGATGAAGAGAAAAAGGAGTGTGGAAATTGGCAGAGAGAGCAGGAATACTAGTGAGAAGTCTACTGGAGAACGACGAACATCATGAAGTTTCTGGCGATCTGGATTTCCATGTTCATTGATTTCCTTTACCGTTTTCTTTATTTTCCCTGGTAATTTACTTTGATGCAGTTTATGTTTAGCAACTTTAAGTTTCTGTATTTTCGATTCCTTGTCATTTCCCTTTAATGAAAGTTAAGTTTCTGCGTTTAGGTTCCTTGTCATTTATATTAACACAATTTTGATTTCTTGCTATTTACATTTCTGTAATTTCGATTTCTTGCTATTTACATTTCTGTAATTTCGATTTTCTGCTATTTACATTTTTGTAATTTCGATTTCCTGCTATTTACATTTCTGTAATTTCGATTTCCTGTTATTTATATTTCCGTAATCTCGATGCTTTTACACATAATGCAAATTTGAAGTTTCCGCATTTTACATTCCTTCGCAGTATTACTTTCAGTACTACTTTTCGATTTATCACTTTACTGTTTTCCTCATTTCGAGTACTTCAAATACAAAATACCAAAAAAAAGAAATAGCACTTTCCATTGTCATTAGGTTACATTAAGATTTGTGGTACTTTTCGATTCTCATACATATTCCGATTGAAAATCATTTGCTAGCCTAAGTAAAAAGAATCTACGTGGTTAGGATTTGGTTAGAACAAAATTCCCTCAAAATCGAAATCAATCAAAATTCCACCAGAAACACTATCCTATAGTGTGTTTGGATCATTTGTCATTTACTAACCGTATCAGCATTTATGTATTAATTGCATTTGTGTTTCAATTTTATATTTCAATCATGTCACCTTCTTTAATGTATTATTATATCTTAGTATTTCGATCATGCCATCTTATTTATTGTATTTATTGATATTATAATATATTATGCTTCAATTATATTATTATATTTATCGCGTTTTAGTTCTATCATAAAATTTATCATTTTATTATGTTTTAGTCGTGGTTATTAAAAAAAATATATATATATGTGAATTGAATCGAACTATAAAATAAATTTTTGATTTACCTTAAAATAAATTGAATTGAGTTGACCTACTTTTAACTTAACGGATTCAACATGTATGAGTCGGGTGTATGGGTTGGGTGGTTTTCTGTCACGTAACTATTCATAATTGGTTTCTAATTTTGTCGACCATCAAAATTATATTTCACTTATTGGACATGCTGTGTATGAATTCAAGCATGTGAAAGTAGTGGACTTCATTTTAAGTCACCGTAATGGTTTTGGCGTCACATTGCAATACAAATTCAAAATCATTGATATAATAATCAAATATATTAAATGTTGAAAATGAATCCTTGATGTTAAAGTGATCACGTGCGAAATGATTTTTCATTGAATGAAAATATGAAATAAGATAATTTAGGATTAAAAAATATCAAATGTTATAATTGATAAGATTCATTTTTCATAAATTACTTTTAAAGAGAAAAATGTTATTAACGCATAACTTCCTTGATACATCTTCAACAATTCCCAAAGAATTATTAATTTGTTTCACTGTTTTTAAAAATAGTTTTCAATTTTTTAATTTTAAAAAATGAAAAATGTATTTAATAATTATTTTGTTAACATACTTCTTAAAATTTTTAATTTTAAAATTTTTAAAAAATAAAACTTATAAAAATGTTTTCTAGTTTCTTATTTTGATTGACAGTATCAATGATTTACCCGATACTTGTATTAAATAACTCATTTTTATTATTATAGAGATATCAAAATTATTTTTCAATTTTCTTAATTTTTTTTGTTTAACATAGTTTAAAAAAAATAATTATCAAATAATTTTTTAACTTATTTTTAAAAATAATTTTTTAAAATAAATCTCTAAAATTTTTAAAAACTAAAAAATGAAATTAAATCAAATAAGCTATAGGTGATCTTTTCATCTTTCTGATATTTGTCTAATACAAATCGAACATTGTTAATATATCATTATAAATTATATATATTTTAAAATATTATATAAATATTGAACGAAACTATAAGTAAGATTAAGTCCCTGATTACTTTATAATATTCCAAAACATAAAGAGTAAAGCATCACGCGTAACACTCGCTTTTAGATTGTTAATCATGATTGATTTTAGGTTTTTTAGTAAAAAAACAAAACAACGAATAAACTTGGATTCTAAAACTCGTGGAAAAGACTTTGACTAGAACCTAAATGAAAAAAAAAAAAAGTTAAAAAATGGATTAGTTATAAATTCATAATAACAAAATAAATTTTCAATACATGTTAGACTAGGTTGAGCACGTTACTTTTATTTACATATATAGAATGTCAAAATGAGGATTTAATTCCTTTTATACTAACTCTTCTTCTTTCTCGTTTTTTCGTTTACAATAAATAATGTCTAAATATTTTAGATTATTTCAAAAGGAACTTTTTATTAGAGAAAAAAAAATGGAAAAAAAGAGAGACATCAAACATCCATTTAAGAGAAAAAAAAAAAAAACTTGTGGTTGGCAACGAGACCTCAAAGCAGCACCATCACTTTCGACTTTATAATTCGCTGCTATGGAGGGGTTGGTCTAACCACGACACTCAATAGCCAATTAAATTTTAACACGTTGCATATTAATCTAAGAAAATTAAAATTAACACTTAAAAGTGATTAAAAATTATTTTTTTTGTGAGGTTAAATCAGTCTTTAAATTATCAGCTTTCTTATAAAAGTCATTTTAGTTATGTAATATACGATCATATATTTATATTTATATTTATACTTTATCTTTCTTGACTAATAGAAAGTCTTCCCAAGTCATCCCAAGCATGTCCCACCAGCTTGTGTTATCTTATGTTTTTTAAGTGAGATTGATGGATACCTACCAATTTACTAGAGACATTTTAACATATACTATTTCATCCATTATCTCATATGTATTGAAGAGAGAATGCGTTTTGGTCGATTTAATATATAAGATTCATTCTATATGAAAATAATTTAATTAGAACAAAGTAATGCAAATGTTGGTTATGTATTATTATTGGTAATCAATTATACATTATAATTTAGAAAGTTATAATCAATATTTTAAAAATTATACTATTTCAATAAATATATATAAACTATTTAAACTTTATTAAAAAAATGAAATTAATATTTCTCGACTTCTCTCTCTCTCTCTCTCTCTATATATATATATATATATATGTTACCTGTACAAGCTTCCTAATGTAGTTCGTAGGAAGGTCACAATGAAGCTGCCTCGTTGAAGAAAGTGTATGGAGTTTATATTATGAGCACCATAGTCCACATTTTTTCGTATCAACGGTGCTAAAATGAGTGATAAAAATCCAAAACCACCAGATTATTCATCTGACAGTGATTTCACCAAGCAATGGTCTTCGGAGCTCTCTGGGTACCTGAATTTGGATGATGATTGGCCAGATGATGACCCTGATTCATTTGTTTCATGCCATGTTCTCACCCAGGACATTCAAGCCAATGAAGGTGGAGGTAGCACCTCCCATGAAGGGTCTTCTAGCAGTAAGCAAAGTTCCTGAGATGAAGTTTATTTTGATTTCATAATTTTGCTTCCTTTGTACCTTCTTCTTTTCTTAACGTCTATGTGTTTTGTTGTGTGTCATAGGAGAAGTTGGTAATGAACATGAGAAGAAGGAAGTGAGAGATAGAGTTGCATTCATAACAAAGTCAGAGATAGAAATAATGGATGACGGGTTCAAGTGGAGGAAGTACGGGAAGAAGAAGGTGAAAAACAGCCCCAATCCAAGGTATGTATGCACCCATATGATATGCTATGCCTTGTATGAGAAATTATTTTATGATCCATCATGATTGTTCAATTCGATTAAATCTTTCATGAAAATTGAAAAACCTTGTTATATAATAACTTTTCTTTTACAGGAACTACTACAAGTGTTCAGTAGACGGATGTTCAGTTAAAAAGACAGTCGAAAGAGACAAGGATGATCCGAGGTATGTAATAACAACCTACGTAGGCATCCACACTCACCCGAGTCACTCTTAAGTCAAAATTAAGAAGTTTTGAAGTTTCGCGGGACATAGCTAGCCACTGCAGTAGTGTTATTGTTTCTGCATGTGTGGCATGTCGAAGATATCAGAGATAGTAATTTTTCATGAACCAATTGAACTTTAAGGGCTATGAAGATCAGATACCAGGACAATTAATAGTAACAGAGAATTAGTTTTCACTATTAGTGATTTCATGAAAGTGAATAAAGGTTGACACAACTGTGTTGTGTGGAGGATAAACCAAAACGGACAATGAGATTTCCCCAAGTTATAGCCTATTTGACATCGTCATCCAATGGTTTTGTGTTGTGTCACTGTACCCCTATGTTTATATATGCTATATTAGTTAACTATTATTGTCTTTATCAGTAGCCGTAGCATATATATATAGTCTTAATCTCTTGGGTATTATTGACCTGTTACTTATATTTGACCTCTTCGTAAGATAATTTAGTAAGTAATTCGTGTATCACTTATAATATCTGATATATGCAGAATTCATAAGCTTATTTAACTATTAAACAAATTTGGGTAAGCAGACTTCTTTTACATTCATCGTCAATTCGCCTAATATCCTAAAATCACTGTTTTTGTAAAGTGTTGTCTCTTAACGCGTTTTTAGGTTAAGATAATTTTTTGTATGTATGGTTTTACTTGGAGAAATTTATTATGGTGTTCAATCGAATCTAAATTAAAACATTTTTTTTATAACTTTTATGTTAGATAAAATGTTTTCTACTTATGATATCGCTTTTCTATATAATAAAAATATTCAAACATAAATCCTATCATTTTGAAAGCAATTTCAATTATAACATAAAAAAAAGTTTATAATAATAAAAAAAGTAAAATAATGTTATTTGTTACTCCATGCTGAAGCAGCTTACACATGTAGAGATGTGTAACATAACATAATGCATCATTAAACTTAATGGTACTGTTATTATTAGACTATCATCTATTAGACATGGAAGAGAATGTAAGCTTTATATATGATAAAATATTATAAAATAATATTTATTATATTTTAATATATTATATTATATATAATATGTATAATAACATATCTTATACTATTACATAAATAATACATGTATATAATATAATGTTATATTATAAATAAAAAAAGTAGAGATAAAAGAATAAACAAAAATTAAATTGCTATTACATATTATACAATATACTAAAGCAACAAGAGGGTGAGAAATAAAAATAAACATTTTTTTTATCAAATAATTTCTATGTGGGAAGAAGGTTATCTGAGTCATTTTTTTTTATATTTTTATTCTATGTCTCGCCAACTTCTTTTATTATGGTCCCGTGACCACCGCGTAGATATCTTGTTCAAAGTGTCGGCACATCGGGCTCGTTCGCAACACAAACACTTCTGATCAACATATTATATGTTCAAATAAAATGAAAATAATTTTGGTTGGCTCAGGTATTAATCCAACACTCTTAAACAAGCATTTGAACGGTCAATTTTTTATAACATTAGCATTCTATATTTTAGAACTCAGTTATATTCGAATATTTTTTTTAATATTTTAAATACTAATGTTTTACCTTTAAATCAGAGTTGTAGAACACGTCTTTTTCTTGAATGACATTCACCGTGAGCATCAAAATAATTAATGAATGCGTTTCTTTTTAGGTTAGTTTATGCAAAAATGTGGGAAAAACATTTCGAACGAAGTTAAAATTGATGCATCATAGATTTTGTGATTTTAACATCTTTAACGTCCAATACTTACACGAGTAAGGATTGAGTCTTAGATTCGTAATTTGTATGGTCTGTATTGAGTTGAAGAAGAAGTTTCTATCATAGACCTAGTATATAATCTCAAATATTCTAAACGATGATAATGTAACAGGAAAAAAATTGATTTTAGAAAGTGACTCGTAAACTTCGAAATTTGGATATGTCAATATTGGCTTTAAAATTAAGTTTATTTTGTTTTATTCTATTGATTAATATATAATAATAATAATTTTTATAAGGGCTTAAATATGTTTATATTATCACGTGATTTTGTTTGTTTGTCTCGAAATATTTAAATTTTTAGTTTTAAATAAAATATTGAATGTATATTATCTAATGATGTTAAAATTTTACTTTCAAATAAAATATTAATACAATTGCATCTTTAATAAAAATAACTTATATGAATTATTTCTTATCTTTAAAAACAGGTTTAGTGTAATTTTTAAACAACTCATCTTTAATTTTAATCTATTTTCTCTTATCGTTTATTTTGTTTTATTATTATTATAACTTCTTTAGTCAAACAATTATGAAATTTTTTTTAAGTAACTTATTATTATTGTAAGTTATTTAGTCAAATAATTATGAATTTTTTTAAGTAACTTATTATGTCAGATATAATTTTTTTTAATAAAAATTTGTTTAAAATAACTTATTCTTTATGCAAACACATGTTTAATATAAATAATTAATATGAATTGTTTTTTATCTTAAACTGATAAAATATGTTTTTTTTCATATCATTATTAAACAATTTATTATTAATTTTATTTAATATAATTTTTGTAATAAATTTTAAATAACTTAATATCTCTCGTCTTCTCTCTCATTTATTTTAAATTAGTTGAAGTAATTAATGTTTTACTGAACAACTTGTATTAGAGATGTTATGGTCAACTAGTAAAGTAAACCGTAGAGATGCTTTAAGTGGATAACCAACCTCTCATTCTCTCTTTCCCTATCTTTTCTTACTTTTTCTCTTCTTCACTTTTCCTTTCTTTCTGCCAACTTCTAGCCTTCATGATTAATATTGACGAAAGCTTCATCACGATTCTGACAAGAGCTAAAGGCAATGCCCAAGATGAGACATTTCTCACATGAACTTAAATTGGAGTTACGACAATTCTCTTGGAGCCACAATTAGGCTTCACACACGTTCTCATCTTCCTCCACTCCAAATGGTGTCAAAGGCATATTTGAAACGGTGTTGGTGGCTCGCATGTGCTCCGACGTGTACAAAACGCTTTGTAATCCTAGTAGTCGTGAAGGTCATCATCTTCATTTCTACTTTGTCAATAACAGTTGAATGTGAATCTTTGGCTAGAGACAAAGTAAAAAAACCATCGACTAAAGTGTAGCTAAGAACTTAAACCTAAGGTGCGCATGAAAGAACAATCAAACCTTTCTCTTTGGTTCCCAAAACCCCATAGCAAAAACTGCAAATACTTTTGTGTACCAAAATATTGTCTTTTTAATGTATCCACATTATTGACATTAGAACAAAAGTCAGATTAAGAGTTGGAAGTAGGAAGTTCTTCAGCAAAATCTCCATGTTTATTTTAAACTTAATGCGAAAACCCATTACAAAATTCACGTCAATTATGTACAAAATGTGGAAGTTATAACTAGCTTCTCGCACTACAAGAAAAACATTAAATAGTGACCGAAATTAGTGATCTGAAAAATTCGATCATCGATAATGACTTGAATCAATGATCGAATTTTTTATATATTTAGTAACCGATTTAGTGACTAAATTTTCAGATCACTAAAAAAATAATTTTTAAATTGATAACTATTTTTCATTTATATAAATATTTTATTTAAAATATTTTAAATATAAATCTACTTAATAATTTAAAATAAGTGATAACATTGTTAATAACATTATAAAAATTTTAAAAAAATAGTTTACTAACTTATTAAATAATTTAGTAATATAATTATTTAATTTTATTTTTTAATTTAGCATGTGAATAAAAAAATTAAAATTGATTATTAAATTAGTCACTGAATCAGTCATCGATTCGACCACTGATCGGTCACTGATTCGACCATCGATCGGTCATTGATTCGACCATCGAATCGGTCACTAAATCAATAATTAAATTAATTATTAATTTAGTCTCTTTTATATATATATATATATATATATATATATATATATATATTACTTGTATGTTAATAAAAATGTATTTCAATGTATTTATAAAAAATTAAAATTATTTTAATTACTGAATTGATATTTTAAATTTATATTAATATCTTGGATAATTTAATAGTTGGATATATATTTTAAGTTTATATTAGTCATTTTTATATAAAAGTGTAAAAATAAAGTGAACTTATTTTAAAATTTAATTAAACATAATAATATAATATAGTATTAACCATAAATATTGAAGATTTAGTTAGAAATTAATTTTAAGTTTTATTGTTTTTATTTTAAAAAAATCGTTAAAAAAATTTAAAATAATTAATTAAAGTAAAGAATTTTAATTTAATAAATGTGTTAATATTATTAGAAGAATTAAATTTATATTAATAGTTATATAAAATTATAGATATATTAAAATTTAAATTATTGGTAATTTTTTTAATTATTAAGCTAAAATTTGATAATATTAATAAATTAAAAATAATATATATATATATATATATATATCACTTTAATTTTTTTAATTAAAATTAATTTCATAAAAAAATTAATATTTGAAAATTAAAATGCAAAAGTATATATATTTATCTTTTATTTAATTATACTTTTACACCTAAAAAAAGAAAAAAATAATAAAATTTTCTTTTATTAATCATTTTTATAAAATAAAAAAATATATAATAATTACTTTTATAAAAAAAAATTAAATTCTTTAACAGATTTGTTTTAAGCTGATACTGACAACGTTTATATCAATTAAAACACTTTACAAAAAATCTTCTAAGTTGATTTAATCGATTGTTTAGCGATTCAATCGATTGAAATACTTGCAAAACTTTCTCGTAAAACTTTTCAAGTTATTTTAAATGATAAAAATAAGTTTTAATCGATTAAAACGCTTGTCAGAAATTGTTTTAATCGATTGAAACGAGATTTAATCGATTAAAATAGTTCTGATCAGTCATAATTGCATTCTGATCGATCATAATTGAAACGATATAATAGCGGTTCCAGGTTAACCGCTATCTAAGTGAGCTTTTAAGAGCGGTTCCTGTGTAACCGCTATCTAAAATGTATCTCGCTTGAGCGACACTCTTCTCGCTCGAGCGAAACGCATCCTGCACAAAATTGGCATTCTCGGGTTGTATTTCAGCTGAGCGACTCTAGTATCGCTCGAGCGATATTTGATTCTGATCGATTAGATTTTCGAAATGATCGATCATATTTGATAATTTTTTCAAATAATTAATTATAATCGATTAGTTTTCTAAATTATTGATTAGAATTGATTAGTTTTTCAAATAATAGATTAGAATTGATTAATTTCTAAATATATACTAAAAAATTATAATTAAAAATATAAATTAGTTAAGAATATTGACTATTGTAAAGATAAAGTAGAATATGGGAGGAGATGAGGATGATAATATAATGATAGAACTTACAAAAATGTAGAATTGAGAAGTTTGAAACAAATAAAATTAAGAAAATAGATATTTAATTACACTTTTAATAAATTTAAGATAATACTAGTTTTGATTTTTATTTTTAAATATTTATTTTAATTATTTAAAACAGAGAAACTATAATTTTAGTTTCTAGCTATCTGAATTTAAAGAATTAAATTTATTATTATTTAATCTTTTAATTTGTAGAATTAAACTCAATATAATTGTTAAAAATACTTTGTAGAGGCATTTGAGAAAGCTTTTGTCAAAATACTTTGTTTTTAATTGTTAAAAACATTTGTAGAGGCATTTTGCAAAATCTTTTAAGTGAAGAAACCTCATGCAACGAAATCTTTTAATTTTAGTATTAAAAATTTAAATTATATTTTATTAAATTAAACTAGTTACAATATATTTTTTTACTTTGAGAATGAACAATATAATTAAACTCAAAATTGACAATATTATAATACATTTTTGAACTCTTTTGGATTAATTTTTTTTCCTAATTTTTGATAAAGTTAATTTTAATATTTAAAATTATTTAACATTTTGAATTCTCAAAGGTTTTCTCTAATAGCAAATTTAAAAACATAATATTCAAAAAAATAGTTAATGTAAGTTTTCATTATGATTGATGAAAAGAAGAACATAATTGAGAATATATGATAGCGGTTCCACGTTAACCGTTATCTAAAGTATAATTTAGATAGCGGTTAATGGTTAACTGCTATTAGAAGTGCACTTTTAAAAACGGTTCTTGTAGAACCGCTATCTAAAATGTATTTCGCTTGAGCGACAATATTCTCGCTCGAGCGAAACGCCCCCTGCACAAAATTAGCATTCTCGGGTTGTATTTCGCTTGAGCGACACTACTCTCGCTCGAGCGAAATAAGATTCTGATCGATCATAACTTGAAATGATCGATCATAATTGAGAGGATATAATAGCGGTTCCTTGTAACCGCTATCTCAAGTGTATATTAGATAGCGGTTAAGGCTTATACGATATTCTGAAGTGTATTTCACTTGAGTGAGACTACTCTCGCTCAAGCGAAATCCGATTCTGATCGATTATATTTTCAAAATGATCGATCATATTTGATAATTTTTTCAAATAATTAATTATAATCGATTAGTTTTCTAAATTATTGATTATAATTGATTAGTTTTTCAAATAATAGATTAGAATTGATTAATTTCTGAAATATATACTAAAATATTATAATTAAAACTATAAATTAGTTAAGAATATTGACTATTGTAAAGATAAAGTAGAACATGAGAGGAGATGAGGATGATAATATAATGATAGAACTTACAAAAATGTAGAATTGAGAAGTTTGAAACAAATAAAATTAAGAAAATAGATATTTAATTACACTTTTAATAAATTTAAGATAATACTAGTTTTGATTTTTATTTTTAAATATTTATTTTAATTATTTAAAACAGAGAAACTATAATTTTAGTTTCTAACTACTTGAATTTAAAGAATTAAATTTATTATTATTTAATCTTTTAATTTTAGTATTAAAATTTTAAATTATATTTTATTAAATTAAAATAATTACAATATATTTTTCTACTTTGAGAATGAACAATATAATTAAACTCAAAATTGATAATATTATAATATATTTTTGAACTCTTTTGGATTAATTTTTTTTCCTAATTTTTGATAAAGTTAATTTTAATATTTAAAAGTATTTAACATTTTGATATAATGAGCATGATAATATAATGATAGAATTTACAAAAATGTAGAATTGAGAAGTTTAAATTTTTTTTAAGAAAATAGAGATTTAATTATACTTTTAATAAATTTAAGATAATACTAGTTTTTAAACCTTTTTCTAATATTTGTTTTTAAAAATATAATATCATTTTTAATATTTTATAGATTTTATATTTATATATTTATAAAAGTAATTAGATTAAATTTATTATCCTCTCATATATTATTATACATTTAGCGTAATTTTAGTTTATTTAAAAATTAGAATACAAATATACTATACCAATATACCATTATATTAATTTCATTGTATATAAATTACAAAATTAATAATTTGTATACTATACTATACTAACATATTATTTGTATACTATACTAATAGTATAATATACTATATTATAATATTATTTGCATACAAACTTAATATCTTTATATATAAATATATAAATATGGAAAGATATAAATATATGTAAAAATATAAACATATAAATATATATAAATATGTAAAGATATAAACATATATCTTTAATATTTTGTAAATGTAAATATAATTTATATATATTTTTAAATGTTTTTCTAATATTTATTTTTAAAAATATAATATTATTTTTAAAATTTAATATTTTTTTTCAAATATATAAATATATAAAGATATAAATGTATAAGGATATAAATAAATATATAAATATATCAATATATAAATATATCAAAATATAAAAATATAAAAATATAAAAATATAAATATATTAATATATAAATATATCAATATATAAATATATAAATATATAAATATATAAATATATATATATATATATATATATATATATATATACACAAATATATCAATATATCAATATTATCCCCTCATATATTAATATACATTATGCTATATAAATATATCAATATATAAATATATCAATATTTAAATATATATTAAAATATATAAATATATTTTTATTTATAGATTTTATATTTATATATTTATACGGATATACATTTATTTGTATATAAATATAATTTATTTGTAAGTTATTATTAAAAGATCCTAGTAGCTCGGTGGTTGGAGTTTCGACCTCCAACTCTAAGGTACCGGGTTCGAATCCTGTCAATGACAATAAACCACTTAATAATAAGTTAAATTAAATAAATATAAATAAAAACTTAAATAAGCAATATATAATATAATTAAGAGATAGGGAAAATAAATAATAGATATAATAAAAATAAATAAATTTGTTATTGATTAACTTTTTCATTGATTCAGTGACCGATTCCAGTTGGTCACTATTTCGGTCACTATTTGGTGTTTTTCTTGTAGTGTCGTTATATGTGAAAAACCATATTTGGGACGTGAGAACAAACACATCCTCCTATGTCTTAAACCTTAGCAAACATTTACTCTTAAGTAATATTCATCATCAGAATACATTAGTTTCGATAGATATTATCATACAGTTCTCACCAAAAAACCCACATGGAAAGAACTGCAAAGGGTTAACATACTTAAAACTGCAAAGCATAAATGGCAAAGCACACTCGTGATTTGAGGAACGGTTAAGTGGTAAAAAATTGATATAATTATGCTTTGAATTATTATGAAACCACTTAACTTATATTAATTCTAATATATTTTTCACCCAATATAGGATGAATTCGAGAATACCTTGATACAAAAGGAAGGAGCATAATTGTCAGCATAATTAGAGTAAAATTGAAAGAAAGAAGAGCGCTTAAGCGAATAAATGATGCGAGGCCCGACCCAAATTCTCATATAAAGAGATAAGTTGTGTTTTGAGAAAAGCAAGCAGTATTGAAGAGGAAGAGGCACGACTACTGTCAGGGTTTTGTCCAATCTTCATCAATTTTACTTCATCAATTGGAGCATTGTAATAGCCAACATGAGTGACTAACTTCATTCTTTTAGGATTCGGTGCACTTCCTTTGAACTCTTTTGTATCATGGTGATATTTTGATATATTAATCTATGCTTTGATGTTGTTATTCTTATCCTTTATGCTTTGGAATGATTTATTCTTGATTGTTTGAGGTATGATTGGAAAATATATCTTGAACCCTAGATCACGGTAAGAATATTTGTTAAGTTAATTGCCAAGAATGGAATAAATGTATCAATTGTTTAACACCCTAACCCTAATGCTGGAAAATATATTAATTGTGTGAGGAATTAACATTTATTAGGTTTTCTTATGAATTTCTTGTGTGAGGAATCAATATGGATGATTTGAGTAGGTGGCATCAACATTGTTAGGTTAATTGACGTTCTTAATTGACATAACCATTACAAAAGAGGGATAAGGAAAGAAACTAATCCTAGGTACCTTTAATTGATATTTTCTCAACAATTTACAGTTCTTTGTCATTTAATTTCAATTCAACTCTTATTTGCAAAACCTAATCTGTTTTAATCTACTTAGTAAGCATAATTGGGAATTTCCATTGAAACTGTTCCATGTAGGATCGACTTTTATTTAATCGAAATACTATACTGCGATTGATAATTTGGTACGCTTGCCAATAATTCAACAGGAACACATGTAGGTGTAGGAGGAATGCCTGAAAATTCAAATTTACCCAACAAATTTTTATCTCTGATACTTGTTCACCCTCATGAACCTGAATCAAAACACCTGGCTAGTTGTTAGAATAGGTTGAGCAAACTTTTTCTTTCTTTTTGTTGGGATTGTAGTGTTCCTAGGGATCAAAACTATCATAACCCCACCAACAATTTTCAATACGAAAGAGATTGGGGTGACATTAAGTAGGAGAAGATCCTGAACCTTCTCACTACCCTCATCACTAAAAATAGCAACTTGAACAACACCATATGTCGCAGCTTCGTCAGGAGCTCCTTTCCATCAAAGAAATCATGTAGAAGTTGTTGAACCTTGGGAATTCTTGTGAACCATCAACGAGTACAATATCATAGACACTTCTCTTGTCCATCATAACATCTCTTAAACACTTGTCAATTGGTTCCATGCACTTACAGAAGAGATCCATATTGAGATCCTCTCGGGTAATGGCGAAATAAATATCAATTCCTTCACATAGAGAAAGATAGAAAAAGAGAAAGAGGGAGCTGAAAAGTGGAAAAGAAATTTGAGAAAGACGAAGAACAGAAGCAAAATAAAATTAAAAGAGAGAAAGAAAATAAAAAGTAGAAAAAAAGGGAAAGAGAGGAAAGAGACATAAGAAAAAGAATAAGCTCAGACCAGCCAATAAGGTTGTTTTGATTAAAAGAAATAAAATGAAGAGAAATAAAGAAAAAAATTATAATTGATTTGAAATAATAAAAAAATATATTAATAAAATAATTTATAAATTACTAAAGTATTTTTATTTAGATTTTAATAAAAATAAAAATAAAAATAAAAAATTAAATCATTAATCTCTTATCTTCTTAACCACTCATATAATAATAAAGATTATATTCAATATTTATGTCAAAATAAAAATCAAATATATTCCAATTATCAAAAAGAAAAATATATTTATTTTTTATAATTATATTTGATATTTTTGGCTCCTATGAAATTGTAAATATAATTTTATTGTTGGAAAATATAGCGTGAAAACATTAATATTAAAATTAAAACAAGTTTTGCTTAAATGAATATTATATATATATATATATATATATATATATTAATTTAATCTATTAAATATTTTGGAACCAGTTTTATAGGTGATTTAGGTTCTTTAATGCATATTTTAATACCACTTTTAAAAAGTAAATTTAAATTTAATTTAACCTAATAAAATTAAATTTGATCTATTTATATAATATAAGCTCATTGTGTATCTAATTGACTGAAATGTTCTAAATAATAGTTCATATTAACAATTGGATACGTTGAAAGCGTGAAATCATGAGATGTTGAAAATAATTGTTCAAATTAACAATCGGGCACATTTAAAGAGTGAAAACAAATACTTGTGAATGATTTTCATCAATATTATTTTAAAATTAAGCTCAAAATAAAATTGCAGTTGATAGAATCCTTAAGCTAAGTTAATTCACTTCTAACTGTAGCTTATACAGATAATGCTACTGGAAATATATGATCCTGTTTCTATGATTTTGATTTACAAAAGTTGTTTAATTTAAAAAAAAAACACTAATATGTATATAATTTTAAAAAAAAATCATAGGTAATATGTGATTTTTGTCAAATTTTTAATTTATTATTGCTTTAAATGATTTAATAAAAATAATATGTTATTTTTTTTAATTACATTTTTATTTTAACATTTTATTTACTAAAAATTGTTATCCAAGTAAAATTTATTAAAAATAATTTATATTTTTAGTAATGATTTCTAACTATATTTAAATCACTCGTTTCTATTATTCTATTATTTTTAATAATGTTCAGAATATTATTTATTAATTACTTATAATATGTAAGATATTTTACATTAAACATGTATGTCTATTAAAATTTTATATTTATTTTTATAAATTTTATTTGCTTTATAAAAATCTATAAACCCAAATTACTTTGATAAAGCGTTCTAAAATAATTATTAAGTGATAGAAATACAAAACTTTAATTGTAAATTGATCTTGTCATATTTAATATATAAATAGAATTCACATGTCATATTTAACTGAAAAGATAAGACACGCTTTTAGGAGTGTAGTACGTGTTGGTTCTGCTGCCATTCTTACTTCTGCGTTCAAGGTTCCGTTGCGCTTCAATCGAAGGGATGATGCAGCTTGCGTACGACACTACTGTGAAGCTCATGCTCTCTACACTCGAACGCAACCTGCTCCCTGATGCCGTCACCAGGAGACTCACGCGCCTCCTCTTGGCTACGCGCCTTCGCTCTTCTTCCTACACATCCGCGGAACTTCAGCTCTCCCACCTCCTCCACTTCGCACATTGTACTGTTTCTTACCTTCTCGATTTCTCTTTGTCACGTCACGCCTATAACTGCCTTGTTGATACGACAGATTAATCCTTATAACCATTCTACGAATGAAAAAAGGAAGAAATGACGTGGTCATTATTTTGCAACGTCTCAATGTAATAATGTGTTTTTTAGGTCAATTTGAACTTAGAATTTCGTGTCTGATGTCCTTTCAGCTTTACGAGAGATGCCCATAGCAATCAACACTGAGAAGCCAAAAGCTCAACATTATGAATTACCAACCGCTTTTTTCAAGCTCGTCCTTGGCAACAATCTCAAATACAGGTACTTCTAATTTTTTGGCTGACATTTAAAAATTAATTTTACCTTACTCCTTTATCTGGCTTTTTTAATTTGATTATGAAAGATTAGGCTATGGCTCAACTTTTTTTTTAGCTTAATATTGCTTTAGAAGTAAACTCAAAATGAAGTAGTAGTTGAATTGAATGGTAATTTTAGCTTAAAAGTATATTTTTATGCCGTTAGTGGTCATGTTTTTTTTATTTATATTTTCAAATTTTGATTTTTTTTATTATTACTTTTTGAATAAGCTTTGGAATAATTTTCCAGACCTAGTAGATTTTAGAGGAGAAATTGATTTTGAAGTAGCAAGGAATTATTTTAAAGACAAAACGAGAAGAAAATTAAATAGGCTTGTTAGTTTTTACAACAAAATCTACCTAAAAGGGTGTACAGGACGAATACATTGGTCACGGTCTTGCCATAGCTCACTTGATGAGCTAAAGCAGCTATGCTGTACTGGTTAAGGTATGTGTAACAGAATTGTAAACATTCATTATAAGCGAGTATTTTCTGTTGCAAAAATGAATGTACGAGGGATATAATATAAGTTGTTGCATTGCAATATAAATTACTGACAAGTATGCGTGCATGAAAGAAAAATGCTCACAACCTTTTGGCTGATATATTTCCCAAATGCATGAATTGATGCAGCTGTTGCTATTTCTCTTCTGCCTCAATGACGCTGGAAGATGCTGAAGAAGCAATGTTGAAACTGTACTGCGAGAGATCAAATCTGAAAGATGGTCATACAGTACTTGATGTGGGATGTGGTTGGGGATCGCTGGCTTTATACGTAGCCAAGAATTACACTAACTGCAGGGTTACAGGCATCTGCAATTCGACAACTCAAAAGGCTTATATTGAGGAGAAGTGCCGGTATGCTGCTTCATATTCCATCGTTTGCTATGCATTGCCATATGGTTGACAAAAACCTTATTAAACAGATGGCACTTAAGTGGAACCCATATTGAGCTTGCAAATTAAATAAATATTGCATGGTGGTCAAAATCACATTCTTCTTCTCCTCTCTTGTCAGGGATCTTCAGTTGGAAAATTTGAATATTATAGTTGCTGATATTAGCACGTTTGACATGGAGGCTTCTTATGACAGAATATTTTCCATAGAAATGTTTGAGGTTAGAACTGTGAATAAATAATTAGTGTCAAAGCCACGTTTCTTGTTTTTTAGAGTCAGCTTTGACCTTGGTGCAGCATATGAAGAACTATAAAAACCTGCTCAAGAAGATATCCAAATGGATGAAAGAGGATAGCCTTTTATTTGTGCATTACTTCTGCCACAAAGCATTTGCCTATCACTTCGAGGTGAACCCAATATATCAATGATAAATGACTTGACCATCATGATTTGTTTGGTTGTTATATTTACTATATATATATTAGTCAATGCATTAAAAAGACTAGTGAGTTTTCAATTGTTCATAGATAAAATTCATTTACCTTCTACTGGCTACTTCTTCATGAAGGACAATAACGAAGACGACTGGATTACAAGATACTTTTTTACTGGAGGAACCATGCCTTCAGCAAATCTACTTCTTTATTTTCAAGTAAGTTTGCTAGCTTTCTTATTAACTGATGGTAATGCTGCATTCCATCAAATGTTGCCTTGTGTTCTAAATGATAAAGATGAAGAGGGAAACAAAATTCCCCGTAAAAGAAAAAAAGTACTTGCAATATTTTTGTTTAACACCTTTATATCACGTCCAGAATTTGCTCACTTGTAGCTGTCTTCTTTAATGTTGTATGTAGGATGATGTTACAGTCATCAACCATTGGCTAGTAAATGGGAAACACTACGCACAGACCAGGTTAGAATCAACTTGACTGCTCAATGATTTTACACCAATCGTGCCCTATTGCACCGATAGTTGACCTGTTTACGAAGCAAGTTTGAACTTTATCACTGAAGAAGAAAAATAAATATATGTTACAGTGAAGAATGGCTGAAAAGAATGGACCAGAGAATGATTTACATCAAGCCAATTATGCAATCAACTTATGGCAAGGATTCAGCTACCAAATGGACTGCCTATTGGAGAACATTCTTCATGGCTGTAGCGGAACTTTTTGGATACAATAACGGTGAAGAATGGATGGTTGCACACTTTCTTTTCAAAAAGAAATAAAATAAGCCAAAAACTTAATTTTTTAATTTGACTATATGAGAATGGCTTCAAACCTATTTGACTATTTGTCCTAAGCTTTTTAAAAAAACCTGCCAAAACGGGATTTCACATTTCAATAAAGCTGTATACTTTATTAACTTAGTTTAATTGGTTGTTTGACTTTATTTTTTCCGGGCCTCAATCCTTTGCACTTTCCCCCAAAACTTTCAAATATGCACCTTGGTTCTTCTATTAGATTATACTTTGTAACAAAAAAGGTTATGCGCAAGTAGATGACCAGATGCGTGCTGTCTCCAAACTCAGTCTCTGTCCTTCCCCTGAAACTACAATTTTATCTTGCTCTTCAAGCAAGAGGGTTTAAATGATGCGCCACTGAAATGGTTTTGGCTTCAAATTACGGGTTTTTGCCGGAGTATATGGTGGCTTGATGATAACTGGGTGAGAGTTTCAATGGTGTCTTTCTGTGCATTTGGATTTGAAAATGAATTTCAGATGTGAAAGTAAGTGGATTTAAAGGAAAGAGTGGTGAAATTAGGATTGATTTGATGGATTAAAAAAATAAAATTGAATTGATAAAATTTTAACATTATAATTTTTTTCTATTTTAAGTAAATATTTTAGAATAAAATATAATTGATATAAATACTATTAAAATTAGATATAATATATTATTTAAAATATAAAAATTAAATGAGTTATTGAAAGTACAACAAAATAACATTGAAGATAAACATATCTGGGGTGAACGGAGTTGGTGCAAATCATGCGATTGAGAGTCTTTTTGGTGCCAAAAACCGATCCAATTTTCCCAATATGAACGCCCCTGTTCAATTCTTTTTTAATGAAAATAAAAAACATTTATAGCTGTCAAATTTATGTAAATTATCTAATTGGTATAATTAGGAACATCCTATACTGGGTGGTTCTATTTCCATTCAATTATGAGTACAAATTTCCTAAAATAAAACAGAGAGAGGAAAAAAATAACCAGCAGATGCCCAATAATCCAACACCACTCCCTTGGGTTTGATGATGGTGTTAAAACACAAGGAAGTAAACGAACATGATATAGGTAACCACAATGGGACCATAATAATATAACTATGTTGGTATAAAGATATTTGATTAGCTAAATTATAGGTTTGTATAGCGGTACAAAATATTGTATAATCAGAACTTCCTATATTTAGTCTTGATTTATTAGAGTAAAATACTAAGATCATAGTATATGTGTATAAAAATAATATGAATAAAAATATATAATGAATTCTATGTTTTTCAATTGGGTACCATAGTTTATAACTTTTTTCTTTTTCTTTCAAAATTCTTGGAGATCTTAAGCTGGAGAGATGACGAAAAACTAATTTCAATGGTTGTTCAATCTGAAGATGTCTTCAACGCAGGCATCATCCTAAATAAATCTAATTATGACGTATGGTCACAACTAATGGAGATGCACATTGCGAGAGAGGAAAAATTGTCCTATATCCAGTGGAAAGGTGAAGCCTCCAATAGAGAACAATGAGAGATATGAAAAATGGTATGCTGAAAACCAAAAAGTGAAAAGATGGCTATTGATGTCCATGAAGTCAGAAATTATGAAAAGGTATATTCGCTTACCCACTGCCCTCGATATTTGGAATGCTTTGTCAAAGACATTTTATGATGGAAGTGATGAGCTACAGGTGTTTGCCCTGAATCAAAGGGCATTCACTGCAAAACAAAATAATAGAACCTTAACTGAATATTATGGGGAGTTGGTTGAGATTTGTAAGGAATTGGACAATCGTGACAAAGTAGTCATGAAGGACCCTGATGATGTGAAGTCATATCAGAAGTCCATTGAAAGATTAAGGGTGCATATATTCCTTGCTGGACTAGATGATGATTTTGAGCAAATTCGTGGAGAAATCTTGCGCAAAGAAGTGACACCTGATTTAGAAGAATGTTATGCATTGATTCGGAGAGAGACAGTCCAGCGAACAACGTTGAAAACAAAATATATGATTTTTGATTCCACAGCTATGATGACAAAGAAACAGCCAGCAAATCACCACAGCAAATCGAAACAATCAAAAGATTTTGAAAAAGGTAACTACAAGTGTACTCAGTGTAATAAAGATGGACATATCAAGGAACGATGCTATGAAATCATAGGATACCCCGAGTGGTGGGATCACAGTCGAGCATCGAAGAAGAATTCAAAAAGAAATCTAACTGCTGCTGTTGTAACTGCTATTGACAAAGAGGACGACAAAGACATGATGCTTGCTACAATCGAAGGTAGTGATGATTCTAATGGTAAGGTTTTAATAAGCACATATACCGTTCTGAATAATGCATGGATAATTGACTCTGCATGTTCTGATTATGTGACTTTTGATGTTAGACAAATTAAAAATCTTAAACCTTCCTCACAAAAAAGTATATCCACAGCCAATGGTAGTAAATAAACTATTATTGGAGAAGGAACTGTCTCTACTTCAAACAATTTGAATCTTGATATTATCCTTGTTGTTCCTTCTCTTAAATATAACCTATTGTCAGTCTCGCAAATAACCAAAGTTCTTTTATGTGTTGTAATTTTTGGGCCTGACTCTTGTGTTTTTAAGGATATTCAAACGAGGAAGACAATTGGTTGTGGTATTAGACGAGGAAGGTTGTATTACCTGGACCTGACAGAAAAAGATTCAAAGAGACTTGGTCAAGTGCTAGCAACAAAAGGATCTCAAGAAGTAAGAAAAGACGAGGATATCTGGTTATGGCATAAACGTCTAGGACATGCATCTTTTTATTACATAAATAAATTATTTCCAAATGTATTTGACCAAGTACACACTTCAACTTTTTATTGTGATGTTTGTGAGCTTGCAAAGAGTCATAAAACACAATTTTCTTTAATTTTAAATAAAATTTCTTTTCCTTTTATGATCATTCACTCTGATGTATGGAGTCCATCTAAGGTTACAACGTTGGGTGGCTCAACGTGGTTTGTAATGTTTATTAATGATTGTACTCGAATGACTTAGTTATGTTTGATGAAGTCTAAAAGTGAAGTTGGAGGACTATTTCAGAAATTCTGCAAAATGATTGAGACCCAGTACAAAACACAAATTCAGGTACTGCGCAGTGACAACGGAGGAGAATATATGCAATCAAAACTTCAACATTTTTTAGTAGCCAAAGGAATTATTCATCAAAGATCTTGTCCAAGTACTCCACAACAGAATGGGGTGGCAGAACGAAAGAATCGTCATCTATTGGAGGTGGTCCGAACAGCACTAATTGGAGCTCACATGTCATCAATATATTGGGGAGAAACTCTCACATATGCAGTATACACTATCAACCGAATACCGTCCAGGTCTCTTGAGTATAAAACACTTCTTCAATCACTTACATATGCAGTAGTAAGTCCTAAAATTGCTGAACTAACACATAGAGTTTTTGGTTGTGTTGCTTATGTTCACTTACACAAGCATCAGAGAAGTAAGTTGTCTCCTAGAGCTGAAAGGTGTGTGTTCCTTGGCTATGCGGATCACCAGAAAGGATATCGGTGTTACAATCCACAAACCAAGCAAATGTTTACTACTATAGATGTAGTTTTTCATGAAACCTTGATATATTTTTCTCCCGAGTCTGAAATTCAGGGGGAGAATTATGATGAAGTTCAGACTTTTGTTCCTCAAGAAATTGATATTGAGATCAGATTGGAGAAAGAAAGTTACAAAGTTGTATCAAGAGATGATGAAAGTATGCAACAATGTTATGATCAACAACCACATAACGAGGAAGATTTTGAGCATGTTGAGATCAAAAATTTACCTGTTGATGCTAATGATATACCACACCAATCTTCCCCTCAAGAACCTAATACAGAAAAAATAATTATGCCAGATTGTGTCACTAGAGGTATCTCTAAGCCTACTTATGATCCTGACCTCACTAGTAAGACAAGATACCTTATGAGTAATTATATTTGTAACCAGAATTTGTCTAACTCAAATATCACATTTATAAGTCAATTATCTACTGTATCTATTCCTAACAGTGTGCATGAAGCTTTAGCTAACTCCAGGTGGAAGGATGCTATGAATGAGGAGATGAGATCCTTGCAAAGAAATAAAACATGAGAATTAGTAGATTGTCCAGTTGGAAAGAAACCAGTAGAATGTTGATGGGTGTATAATGCAGATGGCACAATTGAGAGATTCAAAGATAGATTAGTGACAAAGGGGTACACACAAGCATATAGAATAAATTACACTGAAACGTTTGCTCCCGTAGCCAAAATTAGTACAGTGTTAGAATCGCGCAGCGGAATGTTCGCGTGGTCGGACAAAAACCAAGAGGGGGGGTGAATTGGTTTCTTAATAAAAATTAGGTTTTCAAAATTTTCCCCAAATTTTACCGATTAAAAACTGTGTAAATGTAAATAGAGAAAGGGATAGAGTCTTACACAGGAAATTTATACTGGTTCGGATCAAAAGACCCTACGTCCAGTTGCTAATCACTCAAACAGAGGATTAACGCTGTCACTATAAACAAGTTGTTACAACAGATTACAATTAACAAGATAAAGATAAAGATAACACCTATCTTGAAATCCACAAGAGATGAAGAACGGCTTTCCCCAGAGACGACACAGCACACAATCCACTAAGAACTCCACTTAGTGATTCTTATCGCTTCTAGCCCACACCAGGTTCAGAAAGCCCTGAAGAACAGCTTTCCCCAGAGACGGCACAACACACAATCCACTAAGAAATCTACTTAGTGATTCTTATCGCTTCTAGCCCACACCAGGTTCAGAAAGCCCCCTTTCCTTGCAACAAACAGTTCTCTGGCACTCACAGCACTTAACTTTTGTATGGAAAAGGTTGTTCTTCATTTTCTGAGTGCCAAAGGAGAGTTTAAGTAGGGAAATTAGGGTTTAGGAATTGGGGATTTCGAAACTAGGGTTCTTGGTAATTGGGTTTTCGAAAATAGGGTTTGTTTGA